ATAATACAGTGTAATAATAAAAATAATATTCGTGAAAATTTTTGAATAATAATGGAAATAAAAATAATAAAACAAAAATATTAATACTGGTATCGATAATAGTAATAATTTTCATTAATTTTTTAATCTACTGAGAAATAATTTGCTCGATTTTTTTCATAATTCTTGCTTGGACAATTTTTAATGATTGCGAATCGGTTTTACGTAACGGATATAAATCGGCCGCATGACTTGCTCCTAAAATTAAGAGACCATAATTTTTTAGGATTGATAAGTCAATGCGATATATATGATTCCGGATAAAAATTAATTTTCCTCAAAAAAAAGAATAAATTTATCGGATTCAAGGGACGATTTAAGGGATTTAATAGGAAGAATTTTTCTGATCCCTAGAAATCCATTCAAAGTATATTTTCAAAGTATAACTTTTCAAACCTGTTGAACCTTTTTTACACCTTTCTTATTAGTATATCCCATTAATGCTCCTCAAAACCCACTAAATTCCCACTGAAATTAGCTGCATTATTTCGTCATAATTTATCAATAATGGTACTTATGATATTTTAATCCATTATTGAATTTAAATGTACTAAACTATTGCAAAAAATTGATAGCTCCTTGAGAAATTCCTCAGTACCTATTGCTAAGATCTCTTTATTTCCCTCAAACTCCCATATTCATCTTCAGCATTCTATTAAAATGCATGTCAAAACAGATAATAATACCTCCTCAAATGCTTTCCTCTAAGAATGAAAATTATTTTTTAAATTGGATTTATTTAAAAAAATTGAGATCTATCAAATACACCAAATGCAGCAAAAAATTGTGGTACTAATATACGAAATAGAACAATCTAAGATTAGTGGAATTATGATGATAACACACCAGTGATTGCAAAAATATTGCCATTGCCGTCATCATTTTCCGTGTTTTTGGACATACCGAGAAGTGTCCATGGATCAGCCGAACCATTTGAGAAAATCACATTATTCGCCTGAATATCGTTATTGTTAAAATTTTTGCGCATTCCAAAGCATGGAAATTTATTAATTTTCTAGCGATTTTATCTCTTCATTGTTTTTAACAAATTACTTAAATATAATCGATTGAATGAAAAATAAAGCTGAAAAATCACCTTGAAATTATTAATTCCACCGAAATAATTGTTTGTTTCTTCGATATTTTTCAAGATGTTCTCTATGGAAAATTTTTTACCAAATATATCGCGACAACGAGAAATGAAAAATCTTAAATCTATACTTAGAAAGAATACATAAAGCACGCAGAAAAAGCAATAAAAATTTAAAATAATGATAAGCCCTAAAAAAAAAGATTTAAGTGATAAAATGATTCAGTGATAAACTTCAGAATGCAAATAAGATAGGATTTAAAAAATGGCTTACGTGGCTCAGATGGAATAAAATTATTAAAAAAATTGCTATAACTCGAAATTAGTTGAATGTGTTAGCTTGTGTTTGTTTGTCTTGTCTGTGTTTGTCTTCTTAACATTTTGGATCTATTAATATTACTGGATAAATTAAAATAATAAATAGAAAATTAGTGGGGGTAGTGTGGCTCAGTGGGTTATTGCTTAATTGGGAGCGCTGATGCTGAGACTCTCCGTAGGAGTAAAATCTGTACAAGAATCCGGGTGATGCTGGCGACTCACCTGTATTTCTATCGCCAAGGGACTCTCTGGCACATTGCTTAATGCGACAAGCCAGTGGTGCAAGTTTAACCAGTAATGGTGAGGACACTTTTAAAAAAAGTGGGTATAAACGAATCTATGAAAAAAAGATACTAATTTTGTTCCACAAAAATAATAAAAAACAAACTTTAAAGGAATAGTGCCAGCAAAAAGACTATTAGAATTCTCGCTTGTTCGAAAATGTCCAAATTCATTGCAAGCCTGATAAAGCCAAGCACGATCTTTAATTTCATCTTTTTTTCGAAACTTTTTTGAATTTCATTAAATTTCCAGAAAGAAAAAAAAGATTAATAAAAAATAAATAAGAAATAAAAATAAAAATAAATAAATGTAAAAGTATTGAAAAAATGAATAAAAATGCATAATGTAACAATGCAACAATGCAAAATTAGTATAATTAATTAGTTGAATAATATTAAAATTAATAATTAATAATAATTAATAATTAATAGTAAAAATTTCTTAAAATTTAAAATTTAAAATTCAGTATTAAAATTTCTTTCAAAGAACAATCACCATTTTTAATTCCACACACTTATTTGTCGAATTAAAAAATTTCGCCAAGGAATCAGTCAGCGATAGAACACCATAGGTGATCGTCAGCTATCACCAAATAGCGAATACAAAAACTATTTTTGGAAGCGCTTTGCTTCCACTCTTTTTCATATTTGCCTGCGGGGCTTCAATTTCCTTCACTGAATCATCATAGGGTTCTCACTTTCGCTTCTTTTTTACTCCATTGATTACGAAGGCTTTCTTATAAATTTGATAAGGTAGTTTTTATGGATGCAATAAGAGTGGAACTAGGCCAACCCTATAAGTAGTCTTTTATTTTCGCCGTTTCGCGACATCACCTGGATAGGTTTGTCCTACTGGGAATGATCGATGCTTCGAAATGAAAGTAACGTAACTTTGAAAAAAGTAAGTGATTACATTTCTGCTTTTAGCGTAAAATTTGTTAGTTATTTTAAAACGAAAGACTCACATCGATTACTCGGATGATTCCATTTCTCATTTTTCATAAAATGTACGAAATCCATATAGCAAACGTTTAGCTTTGTTCCTTTAGGCTTTCCTTCAGCGAGCATCACAGTGGATACCACATCTCGAAGAGGTTCCAAAGATGTCCGATTCAAGCGTTCGCAGAGAGCATTCAACGTTAAAGTTTTTCGATGGTGGCGCTGCAATATTCATTCCTTTCTACACTAAAATATCATATCTGGTATCGTTATCTCATTTATTATAGTACAATAGGCGCTATAGAAGAAGCAAATTCCTGGCATTTGTTATGGTACCACGAGATTTCATGGATATCATTCGCGATAATATCATGCAAAATAAATGAACAATTAATATAGAAACACAAAAAACTTGAAGAAAAAATTTAACATGAAATTATCGTGAAATTTACCACATTAATTGCACTATACATAACAATATAGCTGATATAATTACTGATAACATAGAAAAAATTTTGTATATCACAAGGCGAGATTGAATCTTGAGTAAAACAATTATTCAACCTACAATTTACATATAATTAGAATTTTTCAACACAATTTACAATTCAAATTTAAAATTCAATTATTATTATTTTCAATTATTTATTTTAGAGTGAAATATTTGCATGATGGTAGATCAGTGGCTTACTGATAAGATAATAAATAAAAAGGATCGAGAAATAGTTCGAACATGGTCACGCTTCGTTAGGAAGTATCACTAAAAGTGTCACCAAACGGCGAAAGCAGAGGAAAATAGAATGCCTTTTTGCTTATTTCGGAGCGCAGATACTCGGAAAAACCGGCGCAAAACTGTTTTCCAAAAAAACCTAAACCCTCAGCCTGGACAAGCATTTCTCCACTTATTTTCATTCTACCGTATTGTATGTATTCGATAGTTCATAGGAGTTGATTCCATGAAAAATTCCTTAAAGCTAATTATCAGTTAATCATAAAAAATTACTTAAATATTTTGGCAATTTCTTGTCGACCCGTTGAGCTTTCTGTTTTTTCCTTCATCAATTTGAAAAGATCATGTAAACGAATAGAACATTCTTTACTGGTATTTACGATAATTTCTTCAACAATCTTCTCGAATTCTAAAAAGTAAACATTTTTCTCAAATGTTGAAAAATCTGAAAAAAGCCTATTTTTTAAAAAAAATTTCACTATTTCTTTTTGCCAAGAAAGAAATTTTGAAAAATTATCAAAATATCTTTTTTTCTTTAATTGAAAAATAACATTATTTTCAAAATTTATGAAATGTTGGTCGTATTTCAAATTAATTTAATAATTTTTTTTTTAAGAAAAAAAACGACCATGAAAATTGAGTTTAGCAAGAATTGGTGCTGAACTTGCAACAGCACCATGAATTAGTTGTGGTACTTTTTCACGAGACCATGCTGCAAGAACTCCTAAAAAAAGAAAATCAACATTCCTTAATCACCTAGCGATTATCACTTATTATTTACTATTTGTAGTTTTTACTGATATTACAGCATTGCTGATTATCACTGACTTGTTGGACGAGAAAAATTTTGCCAGGAAATCATTTGGCGATAGGATTACAGGTGAGTGAGTCGTCAGCATCATTCGAATTTTTTGAAATTTTTCAAATTTAATTTTGACGGATGTCAAAAAATTAAATCAGAGCTTCAAACCGAATAGCAATTCACTGAGCCATTCTATCTCATTTTGCTTTCGCCATTCGGCGACATTATCGTTTGAAGATGCTTCGGTTGGATATAGTGGAGCGATAATTTTAACTATTTTTCTTAAATCCTTATTTATAATAATTTAAGAATTGGTGATGAAAATAATTATTTGGCCATGAAATCAAAAAATAATTATGGATGCATTTTTGATTATTGAGCAAGTGATTTGTAAAAAAAAAATTAAAACTGAAATTCATGAAGATGACATTTTTTCAAAGGTTATTTTTAAATCGAAAACCTTGGGCCTCTGCAGAAAATCTATGGAAAAGTAACATAGATTCAATTCTCTCTCCTGAATAGGTGAAAAGTTTCCATTAAAATTGCTCTGAGTATCCACTCATTTGCAAATAAGCCATCGGATCCAACTGTACCCGTACAGCTTGCTAGTGGAAAAAATATCTTTATAGTTGGAAAACAATTTGTGGATTAATAGCAATAGGAGCAATAGCACTAGGAGTATATGTGGTACAACATTCATGAGTGGTGGAGAACATATTTCTTATCTTCTTATCACCCATTTTATCATCCGTTCACCTATGGAATCATACATTATAATTATATGCTAAAGGTCTAGAGATATTATTCGCAAAAAAATGGCCTATCGTAACCTGAATAACTTCCACCAAAAGCGATCCATTTCGGATCATTCAATTTTTCTCTACGATTTATTTGTTCGACGAATGATTCGATATCGTGAATAGCTTGTTTCGCATTTAAATACTTCAAATTTATTATGGATAAATCCCTGAAATTTCCATGCTATTCAAAACTGTGGATTTGTAGGATAACATTGCCTTCAAAATATTTTCACTACAATTTTTTTTGAAATAAATAAATATTTATTTTTGAAATAAATACTTATATTTATTTAAACAAAAATTTAAATAAATATCTATATTTATTTATAAAAATTTATATTTGTTAATATTTATATATTATATATTTATAAATAAATAGAAATAAATATAAATATAAATATTTTTATACATATTTTTATATTTTTAATATTTGTATATATATTTTTAATATCTTAATATTTATAAATATTTATATTTTAATATTTAAAAATATTTATTTATAAGTATTATTTATTACATTATACTCAAAATTTTGAGATGGACTATTTAAAAGAAAATTATACGTATTATCAGTTTCTTTAATCAATTGTGGAATGGTTCTGATAAAAAGTTTCTACGAATCACCTAGATTTAACTCTGATAAGTCGTTCACCCATTATTTGATGCGCAAACGAATTTGATTAAAATAAAAATACTTCTTTGCCAAGATTGGCAAAGAAATAAATATTGCCAGTTTAATTTTTAAAACAGAAATATTCTATTTTATAAATGGATAAATGGCCAATTTATTAATTAAGCCAAGGCTAATTATTATATTAATTACATAAAATGACTTAATATTTACTCAATTGGCCTGCTTCTTCCATAGAAACGATGCTCAAGCAGGTAAATGCTTGCATTAACTTTTTCGGCTAATTTTATATATGGTAATTCTTCATTAGTGAGCCAGGTTCGTTCCACTGGCGTTTCTCCACCAATCATCAAAAATATTGGTCCATTTTTCGATTGTTGAGGAGATTTTCGATATAAATACAGCTAAAGTTTCAAGGAACTATCAATTAAACATTAGATTCTGATGGTATTTGATTATTTTAAAAAAAATTTTAAGCTTTGTTTCAACTTTGATAATAATTGTCAAAGAGTTGAATGTCTTATATGCCAAATAGAAATGAGCCAAAATTATTTATCCCGGCAGTTCACCTTATTAACATTTATTTCTTATCATTTATCAATAAAGAATTTGTTTAATGAAAAGTTGGTTGATAATGGAATTTTACTCATTCAAGAGAGATGCGTAGATCCTTCTTGACACGAATCAACAGAGGAATTAAAAAAGACGTAACACGAAAGAAAAATAAAAAGGAAACTGGACAAGAAGCCAATAGAGGAAGAAAAAACTAATGAATCTAGAGAAGCTAGTGTTGATGGTTCACCTAAGTCGAAAAAAGTGGATGGTGCCACTTGTTGATGGTGCCAAAAATGAGGAACAGAAGCGCATCGAACCTAAAAATAGTCTTTTACTTTCACCATTTGGTGATATAATATAATGCTGTGTGATAAACTTTAATAGTTTAATGCGGATACAACGGATTCATTTTTTCCGATTTTAGTGATAAAAAAAAATAAAATAATTTGTGCAATAATTAGCAAATATGTTTATAATAATAGTTTGAATAATAGTTATTGCTACTGTTAATTCTTGAAAAACGAGTTTATATTATTTTTATCATCATGCAGTTTCGTATTTTTATGTCCATAAATGTATGTATGAGCACGTGTAAATATGTGCGTATATGCATTTATTAGCACGTGAAAGTGTGTGCGTGTATGTGTTTATCAGCACGTGTATGTGTGTACGTATATGTATTTATCAGCACGTGTATGTATTTGCGTGTACATATCTATCAGCACATGTAAGTATGTGCGTATATTCGTTTATCAGCACGTGTATGTGTGTGCGTGTACATGTTTATCAGCACGTGTATGTATGTATGTGTATATATGTGTGTATACTTATTAGCACATGTAAGTATGTGCGTATATTCGTTTATCAGCACGTGTGTATGTGTGTACGTGTACGTGTTTATCAGCACGCGTATGTACCATATACGTACTGAATATATGTGAGTACATATATTCAGTACGTATATGTGGGTGCATGCATATATTTATCAATACATTTGTACGTTTATCAATACATTTGTATGTATACGTTTGCATGTATGACGACAAACGGAAGAATCTAAGTTAGTTGGGAGGTTTAACACGAAATGGCATAATTCATATGTATAGACCAAATAATACAATGGAAAGATTTATGTCCTGTGGACCAGGAGAATTTTTAAAAAATAATATAAATATAAAAACTACGGTAAAATTGTCGAAATGTCAAATTAAATGTCAAATCACTTGAAAAATTTGAAATATTTTATATCATTTTCACCCCCTCCTCCCCACCCCCCTTCCCCCATTGTAGTATTCCCTCATCATTCTCTCCAGTTCTCCCTTCTCGCTATAAACAATAGCTATAACAATCTAATTGGATTTATAAAGCTTAGAAATCATACGAAATTATAGAAACGAATGGGAAGAAAAAGTTGAAAATAAGAAAAAAATGTTTTTATCGAAAAATAAATCATTAAGAAAACTTAATTTAATTTAACATATGCCTGAGGTGATATTAAGGAATTGTAATGAAGCCTGATCGAGTGTTAAAGTGGATAAAAGCGAGTATAAGGCAATGTTAATAAGTTTTGACGAGGCTCCGAACGAGCCCTAACGAAGTACCATAGAAGCCCACAAGGAAAAATATTATGCCAAATCTTGCACCCAGCGGATCAAATCTAATAATTAATAATGCGAAATATTAGAAGAAGAAAAGGGAAAATGAAGATGGTTTCAAAATTAATCATTCCCGAAAATCCCGAAATCCCGAAGATTAAATCAAAACCCCGAAAAGATTGAATAAGAAATCGCAAGCGCTTGTGTAGCAGAGTTTGGCGTGAAATTTGTGAAATTTGTTAGAAATAAGAGGATTTTTTAAGCGCCTCCGCTATTACTGGTTAGACTTATCGGACGCTGGCTTATCGGACTAGACAAATATGCCAGGGAGTACCTTGCAGAATCACTTGCAGAAACACCAGCATCACCTGCAGAAACAATGGATTGTGAGGTTTTGATTGAACTTGAGAAGATTTAAAATGTGACATATGACACGCTTTAAGAGATAAACTAAAGGATTTTAGCCAATTATAACTGGCCAACCTCGTATTTGAGACTGTCCATAATCACTCGAGTATTAAAAAAAACTTCTAGGAAAACGATTGGTACTCGTGCTAATTGTCGAGCTGACCTGATTCCAATATCGATGATCCGTTTTATTGAAATGATCAAGCCTTTGCTTAACAGTGCTTATACCAATATTCACTTTTATAATTTCTTGTTTGCTTTTAACTAATGGCCCTCGTTGAGTTGCTCGTTCGGCATGTATAACCGACTGAATACTTGATTCTATCGAAAATAACAAGAAACAAACGAATAAAAATTGATGTATCATATTTGAACATAATTGAAATACCATATTTTATTATATTTTTAAAACGATAAAAAAGCCAATGAACTATAAAATGCTGTAAAAAACAATGAAACAATGATGTTGAAAATGAACTGGTGCAATAGTTTCGACTGCTTCGACTGAAATCAACCAAGTACCACTCGATAAATATTTAATGAAATAAATATTTTAATATTTAAATAAATAAAAATTTAATGAACAAATTGAAAATTAAAAAAAAAAATTTTATTAAACTTATTAACAATTGAAATATTAAAGATGAAAAAAAAATTGAAAAAATTTTTTAAATTTTTATTCACTGAAATTGATTTTTCCGATTTTTTACGAAATAATTTATAAAAAAATTTAAATTCAAATTGAATCAAAAAATAAATTTATTTTTATTAGTGAAATTTTTTTCTTAAAATCACTTAATTAATGAATATTTATGAAACAAATTTATTTTTAATTATTTATAAAATGAGTTAATTTCTTATTTCTTATTTCTGCCTCATTGAATTCGTAAAAGAATTTAAAAACAAGTTTTACTAAAATTGAGATAATAAACAAAATTTTATTTAATAAATATTTTGAAAAATGCATATTTCTGGATGAATTCTGGATAAATCGACAAAAAAATGTAAAAACTTTCTTATAATGATAAATTTATTAAAAAATTTTTTAATAAATGAATGGAATTTTATGTAATATTTTTACATTATTTCTCAACGATTGTTTAGACCATCGACAAGTTTCTTCCATAAATGATATGATTATGATACGATAATGAAATTCAGAAATTTTCTCTTTCCGAAAATATATATTAACATAGGTTATGTCGATTATTAAGTTACTGTTTTATATAGTTTATAGTTCCAAATCCTAATATTTTAAATTTTAATATTTTAAATTAATAACTTTAGTGAAACTTAAAATCTCATAAATTAAGAGGGATTTTAAAATTTAAAATTTTTTCAACATTTTCTTTGAAAAAAGCCTAATTTTAATATAATTTTTTCAAGAGTATGACTGATGATAACTGACAAACTGATAAGTAACAAAGAATTTATATCCACTAGAAAACCTTTCTTGTTATTCTCATTAATGAAATAAGGTCTATAAAGTATCTCGCTTGTATTTAAATGCTATTTTTTTGCAAGAATTCGGAGAAAATTATCTATAAACTTTATTAATTTTAAAAGAATCAAAGCACCGTAATTAATATTAAATCTCAATAAAAATAATCATAATAAATCGAAAAGAAAAATAATTAGTATAACTTAAATATAATTAAAAATTATGCAGAAATTAAGTTTGATATACAGAGGCACACTTTTACCAAGACGAATAAACGAAACACTTGCCTAAATATAATTTTTGTAGCAAATGAACAAGTATAATACAAACTATATGATAGTGAATACGACCAAAATAAGTAATATAAAATATTCGCATTACGTTCGAAAGTTTTTTTTTTTAATTTTCCAATATTACAGCTAGTGTTGATAATAAAGATAAAATTTTCGAAAAAATAAATTAGTGGAAAAATTTCATCAGCAACATTTGCATAAAACAGCTGATATCGCGTTCCTAAAAAGAAAAAGATAAATAAATAAAAGATAAATGAAAGACAAGATAGATTAAGATAAATAAAACAAACGCAAAGTCCTGCTGAAGCATGGAAAAAAAGATGAATTCTGAAAGCAATTTTATTCTGAATGAAATTTTGAACATAATTTTCTTCTATTTTTATATTTTGTATCATAAACACGGAAAAAGAAAATATAGTGGGAAAAAGAAAATTGAAGGGCATGGTTACTTCAACTTATGCTAAGTAGCAAAATTTTAATTTCGCGACGTTGATAGGAGTTAACCAACCATTAAAAAAATCCAGGTTGTATCGGCAACTCATTTCTATCGCTAAATAATTTCCTATCAAGAATTTCTAACAAGCAGAAAAAAATTTAACCTGATTGAAATGGGTGAATTCTAGTAACTTATCACTCAACACCTCATTTTTAAATTTAAAACAACTTTAAAATCACGAAAATTTAATAAAAAATTAGAAAGAAAAGCATACTGCGCCATCGGAATATATGACAGTGAATACCAAATCATAGCCAAATATTGGAAAATAACTAATAGAAAAGCTAATAATGCATTCGAAAGAATCAATCCAGCAAATAAAGTAAGAAATATCGATATCAAATACAACAAAGAAGCGATAAAACGTCCGTGCTCGAACATTTTTTTCAACTGCTTTACTGGACCCATCAAGAAAAATGTTCTGAAATAGAAACAAAATGAAATAAAAAAAAGAAAGAAAAAGAGAGATATTTTGATGAATTTTCTTTGATGAATTTTAAATTTCAAACAATAAATTAAGAAAAAATTTTAAAAGCCAGAATTTATCTATCGATTTTCAAAACAATTTATAAGTTATTCATACCCAACAAGCGATAATATACTACCAAGTGAAACCATGACACAGAATCCAGTAACTCGTCCCGTAAATAATAGTGCATTACCAGAAAATGAACAAATTAAAGATAAAATTAGCAAACCAATAAAGCACATAAGACGCAAATCAAATGAAAGTGATGTTTCATTGATCTAGATTTATCATTTATCATTAAATATGTTAAAAATTAAATATGTTTAAAAATTGAATTTAATAATAGAAATAGAAAAAATAAAATTTTCATTAAATCAATCAGTAAATCCTAAGCCTAAGCCTAAGCCTTAATCTTTTGCTATTTATTGGCACCATAACAAAGAATCGGATCCAAGAGCATTAATTTTGCTAAGTCGAAATTTAAGCCAAAGGTTATTTGAATAGAAAATTAAATTGAAAAAAAAAGGAGAAAGTTATGTATTTTTCGAATCGCACAAAATTATTCGCAAAATTATTTTCAAAATTGGAATAGAAATGATCTCATTTAAAAACTTTATAAAAAAAATAACTTATAAATAAAGAAATAAGAAATAAAAAAGAAATATAGCCAAATAATATTTAAAATAATAGTTTAGGTCTGAGACAAGTAATAAATAATGGTTAAACGGCTAATTAAAGCTGAACTCATGAACTTTTGTTCCAGAATTTAAATCACATTATTATTTTTATTATTATTATTAATGCTACTATTATTATTTAATTACTATTTATTAGTTATTATTATTATTATAAATCATTATTTAATAAATTTATTAAGGATAATTTTCAAAAAAACTAACATCTGTTGCCTGTTCATTTTGATTTTGAGGCAAATGTGCCGTTGATGGATCGCCACTGCTGGAGAAAAATATCTCTCGAAAACGAGCAAACATTAAATCTACAAGAAAAAAAATTAAATTGAAAAAAATTTCGAAATTTGTCGAATTTTTTTCCTTTTATATTTATTTCGACTTTAGTCCATAATTTAATTTTTACCACCCTTATCGAATTTCATTCACCTAATGGAGGTAAATCCGGGTGATGCTGGCGACTCACATGTATTTCTATCACCAAAGGACTCCCTCGCGTATTGCCTAATGCGACAAGCCAGTGGAGCGGGTTTAACCAGTAATGGTGAGAACTCTTTTAAAAAAAAATGGAGATATATAAATAGATATACATCACTCATTTGCATCATATGAGATATATAAAAATATCACTCAAAATTATCCCAATATGTTTTACTGGATAATCGGTACTATCTTAATATTCAGTGGTACTATCTTAGTATTCATCGATTCTTAGAAAGAAACCTTCCTCGGATATCGCTCCCCTCATTCTCCGAAAAATATCACAGGTCAGATGATTTTTATCATTATCATTCTTATCATCAATCTTTTTAATCAATTTCCTTCATTCATTAAAATATGATTATTTGATGAGAAAAAGATTTACTCAATATAAAAAACAAAAAAAACAATACCAACTTTACAGGGAAAAAAATAACATTCACCCAAAAATTCACCTACCTTATTCAGCGGTGATGAACCACAAAACATTTGAATACACAAGAAAAACGAAGAACTGAGAAATCTAAATTATCAGCTGCAGTTTCGATCAAATTATCGCGCTGCAAAATAGCAATATCCATTTTCTCCAAGTAAATTCGATGTTGGGGATTTTTTTCTGTATTCTGGATAGGGTCCTTGGATTCTTTCTTTTTCTTGTGGAATTAAAACGATTGTCATGCCTCAAATTTTTTTCCAATTTTTCTTTGTAAAAGATTCTAATTTTATATAATTTTTATTCATTTATATTTTTATGAAAGCGATTTAGTTGATAAATGAGTGCCTTTATTTCTCTTTTATTTTTCTTATTTTGTTTTTTGAAAAATTTTTTGTTCGGTTGATTTTTACGAAAAAAAATTGAAAAGCAATTCTTTTTTTTCATTATATTCATTAATTCAATTCGCTTTAGTTTCGTTTATCTTTTTTTTACGAGAATGCCACCGAAAAATTCGGCTGCGCCAAGTAAGAAAACAGAGCAGAAAAAAAAAGAGAAAATTATCGAAGATAAAACGTTTGGATTGAAAAATAAAAAAGGCGCTAAAACGCAAAAATATGTTCAACAAATAACTAATCAAGTAAAATTTTTTTATTTTGTTCCTTTTTCTTTTATAAATTGGCTGATTTACAATAAGCATTAAGCACCTCAGCTAGGCTAAACTCGATTTTAACTGATTTAATGCCAGGTTTTATCCTTTATTCTTCACTATATATTCATCATTTTTATAATTTCTTTTTTCTGGAAATCCTCTGATATATTTTCGTTAAGGTAAGGAATCAAGCAAAATTGGATGCAGAAAAAACATCAAAAAAGAAGGAACCAATCGACGATCTTCGAGATTTGAATAAACTCTTGAAACCAGTTAGTGAAATGCAAAAGATCGGGAAAGGTTCGTTTTAATAAAATTTTTCACAAGCATTAATGAAAAACCTAAAAGAAAAAAGCTACCAGATATTTTTAGCGTTCCAGATGATTTTATTATTTTATCTTGTTTAAAATATTTATGAAAAAATTGATGATAAAGGTTTTTTTCTCAGAAACCCTAAAATCATAAATTCCAGATGTTGATCCAAAGTCGATTGTTTGCATGTTTTTTAAGCAGGGAATGTGCCACAAAGGAGACAAATGTAAATTTAGTCATGATCTTTCAAAAGAGCTAAAAACAGCCAAAAAAAATCTATATGTCGATAGCAGAGATCTTGATAAGGAAAATGAAGATGGTTTCTCTTACTTTCTTTTAAAATCATTTATTGAGACATTAATTTTTATCATCCAGATATAGATCTTCAGATTTTTCTCTTTTTTTTAATCGAATTTTCTTTGCGGAAAAATTAAATTTGTTTCATAATTTTTTGGTTAATTTTGCATGTTTTTTCAGGAAATATGGATGATTGGGATGAATCTAAACTTAATGAAGTTGCCGAAAAGAAACATGGAGAAAAAGATCGAAAAAGACCAAACCAAACTGATATTGTTAGTTTTTTTCTTTTAATTTTCTTTATGGCATAAACTCATTTTATCGAAATAGATAAATTATTTTCAGGTTTGTAAATATTTCCTTGATGCAGTAGAAAATAATAAATATGGTTGGTTTTGGGAGTGTCCAAATGGAGATGGATGTATTTATAGGCATGCTTTACCTCCAGGATATATTTTAAAAAAAGATCGAAAGAAGCTAGAAGAACAGAAACGATTGAGTGAAATCACCCTTGAAGAATTGATCGAAAAAGAAGTATTACTTATTAGAAGTATTACTTATTTATTTTAGATTATAGAACATCATCGATTTTAAATTGATTTGTTCTTCCAGCGCGCAGCACTTGATGTGAAAAATTTAACTAAAATAACCCTTCAAACTTTCATTGCTTGGAAAAAACGAAAATTGCGTGAACGAAAAATAAAAGCTAAACAAGAAGATCGTGAAAAACGTAAAAATGTGAAATCTGGGAAATCTGTAAGTTTTTATTTTTCTATAAGTCTCCTTGTTTTTCGTGCAAAATTTATTCTTTGCTTAGGAAAATTAAAATGATCGTAAATAATGTTTAAGATTAATATCAATAATATCTCAACCGCAAATTTATTACCATTTTATTACCAGTTGATATCGTAAATTTTTGAATCGAATAATTCTTGAATCGTTTGCCAAATTTATAACTTTATAATCCGTTTGTTCAAGATTGACGGAAGTAATAAAAGTATTTGAATATGTTTATATATTTTCAGGTTGGTTTGAGCGGTAAAGATTTATTTACTTATAATCCTGATCTTATTGGTCAAGATGATGATAATGATATGGAAGGTGGCGTTATGTTTGAAAGAGATCTTATTAATGAATTCAGCGGCGAGCAAAATGAGGTTGTTGTTCAGTTTCGATAAATTTATTTTAATTAAAAATGAGAGCTCTTAAAATTGATAATTATAGATAAAATAACTGAGTTTTCGATAAAAATTTGACAACCTATATATTTTTGGGCAAAGAAAATGTATCATTCTACTTCTTTTTCGAAATTTTCGGAATGGTGGTTGATACCATCTTAAACCGGTTCCTATGAAATGCTCTTTTTTATGGTACATTTATTAAATGATGCACTAATTATTATCAAAATATCAGCTATTTTTATTCGGAGTGCAAAGAGAGCAAAATTTTACAATGTTTTTTATTTGTTTTTTTTCACATCTATTAATTAAATTTATTGTAGAAAGAAATCAAAGCATTTGAAATCAATGAACGTACATTTTACGGAATAGCAGAGGATGGGACAATGTTGGATGATGATTTGGATATTGATGAGAATGAAGTAAATAAAAAATTGCAATAAAATTTAATTTTCATGAAATCACTTATTTTTTTAAAATTAATATTAATATTTTTAAATTAATTAATATTTTTTAATCAGTTATAAATTTTTTAGTTGATTCTTTAGATTGCCGCAGTTGACGATGGAGGTATCCTATTCAATGAAAACTTATTTGATGTTGATGATATTCCTGATAAAGAAATTTGGAATGTTGAACTTGATAATGCAGTTGATGAATTAACTGATTTGGAGATACATTAGAGAAAAATTATTTACTTTATTGGTCATTTGTACTTTCAATTACGCGTAATTTCGGGTAAATTTTGTCCTTTTTTTGCTTTTTTTAATTGTCTTCTTATCAATATGTTTCTCGAAATGAATGAATTCAGCGAATTTATTTAAACTATTAATGGAATCGAAATAGAATTCTCTTGCTTTCCCACTTCAGTTGTCTTTTTGTTTGCAAATAGAAATGCAGAAAATTGGGCAAATTTTTCTAATGGAAATTAAGAAAAAAAATTTTCTTGTATAATTTATCGAAATATGTAAAGTATGTCGAAAGGAATTTTTTTTTTTTCATGTCGAAAATAAATCAGTTTCTTGTGTAAAGTCATCAGAATTTTACTTTTCTCTTCTACTTTTTTTTTGTTTCTATCAAAATTATTACTTGTTTTGTCAAACTGTCAAATTAAATATGGATACATAGGTAAATTTGTTGATAATTTTTGACTCTTTTAGAATAAAAAATAAATGTCAAAGAAATAAAAATAGTTTAAAAAAGACGAATTTTTAAATTTTTTGTAGTGGAAACTTTTCGAGTAATTTTGATTTAATTTATTATTGTTCTCGGTTATTTCTTGATAATAAATTTATTAAGATTTTTCTGGCGGCGATTTGATTTAAATTTTCTAAATGCGTCTCTAAACATTTTCATAATTTTGAACAGGTTTATTTCCATTTCGATATTTCAAAGGGACGTTCAATGGGAATTTACTTATTATGGTTGGCATAGTTTATTTAAAATGTTTGAATAAAGGTAATAAATTTTATTTTTATGAAGCTTTACTATTTCTTTATGCTGAATTGTAGTTATTTCATTGTCGAACGGCTGGTAACTTCAATTAGCAATTGCTACTTCGTACAGGTAATTTGCTTTTTAATTGTTTATTGATTGGTGATGTGAAATGGAAGGAGCGATAATTTAGACTGATCGACTTAATGGTTTTAATTTTAAAAATTCCAATAAAAATAACTGTAAAATCATAATTTTTTTTTTTTTGCACGAAATCGTTCACTTATTGACTTCCGCGTTCATCGTTTTTCGTTGATACGAAGTTCATGTCGAAGTTCGAAATGGATAATCGCGGTGGATTTGTTTGCACTAAAATTATATGAGAAAATTACTCGAATTAGTTTATTTTTCCCGACTTTTCTGAATATAAAAATATAGCTTTTTAAAATTTGATCTTAAATAATAATAGAAATTGGAATATTATAAAGTTAATTCGCATTGTGCGTTTTTTATGAAAGGAATTAGAGTGAAATTTTATTTATATTATCGTTATTATTTGTATTGTTCAACTTTGATTTGGTAATTTTGAAAGGAATGATAATTCTACTAGTTTAACGCGTGGCAGATTCATGCAACATTCATTTAAATCAATTCTATGATGAATGATAGCATCATTTCATTTAGGAATGTGAAGGAAAATTTAGAGAAAGGAAGAGAAATGATATTTTTCGCCCATTCATGATGGCATCAAAGAGCCCGTTCGTTCAGTCTATTTAAATCGAAAAAAGGCCTCACGAAACTCTAAATTAATTCCTTCATGACGAAAATCAGTCAATTTCTACTAAGTCGTTCATTAATTTTACCAAAGATAAATATACGTCAACTTATAATTTTATATAATTTTATTTTATAACTTATAATTTTGCAAGGATAAAACAAGGCTTTGTCTTTAAATTTCACGGAAAATGCAAAATTGAGAGAATGCAATATTTCGTTGAAGTGGAATACTGATTGTGGACATTTGAATGGTTAAAATTTTGTAATCAATTTTCTAACCAATGAATTTTATAATCAATAAATTTAATTTATAATAATTTTTCATAATTAAATAAAAGTAAAAAGATAAAAAAAAAGAAAAAAACTTTATAATTTTGAATTGTTTGATTATTTTTAAAAAAATTTTAGATAATTATCTTATAAGTTATTGGAATAAAAATTCCTTTAAGAAAAGCAGGTTTCGCCTAAAAATTTTTTTTAAATTTAACTAATCAAAAAAAAGAAAAATTGTACAAAAAAATTTCTTTTCTCAACTATGCAAATAAAAAAAAAATAACAATGGAAAATAGAAATTTCATCTTTTTTTTGAAACATTTTATTTATTCTTACAAAAACTAAAAATTACATTATTTTACATTATCTTATATTATTGTTTTCCTTTTTTTCAAAAAAATTTCCTATTTAAAAATTTAAATTATAAAAAAAAAAGTTTAAAAATTTCTACTTCGATGAAAATAAATTTTTTTAAAAATGAATGTTCGTAATTAGTGATAGAAAAATTGGTTCGTTGAAAAATTTTTGTATTAAAAACTTTATAAACCGAGAATGATCGAATAGTTTCTATCGGTTATATTGTCATTTCTGTTGTTTCGTCGTCGATCGACATGGTCGCCAGGCCATAGCTGACGATGCAATACAAATTCTCATTATAAATTCCGGTTTTTTAATGAAAAATTTTTCTTCATCGTCTCTAGTCGAGCAGTTTCAGCGATATTTGTTCGATAACAGTGATTATAATCTTAAAAATTTTTCTTCAGTTTCATTCATCATAAAACATGAATTTTCTTTATTACAACATTACTTTGATAAAATTTTTGTATATATAAATCATTGAAAATTTTATAAGAGAGTTCAGTAATTAGTTATGGAAAATTTACTAAAAAAGAAGAATAATGAGTTATCAGTAATTGTCTTTCGCGGATATTTTTTATCATTTATCGCTATGAAAAATTGATATAAAATTTTGAAAGGATAGCGATTGGTTATCAATTTTAAGCGAAACAAGCGAAAATCTTAAAATTTCAATTGAAACTGTAGATGATATTAATAATTTAAAAGTGCAAACCGCAATAAACACAGAAAAAAAATTTACCAAACAATTTCATGAATGAACAAATTTCATGAACGAGCAAAATATATATCTGAAAAAATCTTTATAATATTGTCAGTGATAAGAAGATTGATTAAATCTCTTTTATGTTTATAATGCCTCAGGCATGAAGGCAAAAGCTTATTGGGCCGATAAATGAATCCGCGACCGAATCCGCATCGTTCTTAATCCACATTCGCGTATGATATAAAAGAAATATGTATTGCAAATAATGTGGGCAATCGTTCGTTGCATCATCAGTAATAATTGCCATAATAAAAAAAATCTTAGCCTTCTTCGGCAACAGTCGATCATTTTAATGATTTGTCACAAATATATATATATAATAAGTATATATTAACTGTACTTGTAAAATCAAAACCGCAAAGGCCTATAGGCCTTTTTTAAGCGTAGGCCTGTAAAAGGAGTTCCGTTTGATTTTATCTTGATTTTTTATTCCTTGAAGATAATTTCAAATGTTTTAATTGTTCTTAACGAACTAATATTCGTAAAAATTATGATAATGCGATAATGAATGGATAAAGGAGTCCGACTTTAATGACTTTTGTTTTATTGTTTTATTATAATATTTTTTTCAGTGCAAAAAATTCATTTAAATGAATTTCAATGAATTTTCAAAAGGAAAATCTTTTTTTTTAATTATTTAAAATATTTAAAATATTAATGCTAAAAAAAGAATTGAAATATTTTAGTTTGTTTATTTAAATTACTTCGAAAGGTCTTTTTTTCCTCTTATTTTACTTTAATATAAAAATAAAATATTTAATTAAGGATTTACTGAATTTTTTAGCATAGGTTAAGTAACATTTTAAATATTATAGCCAAATTCGAAAATTTGTTAATTTGAGTTTTTCAAAATTCATCTAAAGTGATTTATGAAAATTTAATATTACCGATATATCGCGATGAGATTAATCTTTTTATCTTATCATATCCGTTATCATTTTTCCCTTAAATTATTACTTTGAAAATGATTATAAAATGATTATTAAAATTTAATTAATTTAAGAAAGATTTAAGAACTTTTTTATACAATTAAACCAGAAATATAATTTATTTATTAAAATATTTAAGTATAATTTTTTAGTAAACATTATTCAAATATTATTTTTAAATGTTATTTTATTTGTAATGCCAAATATAATTTAAATATTATATTAAATATCAAAAAAAATTAAAAGATTTCTAGGAAAAAATTTAGACAAAAATAAGCAAAATCCCTCGTTAACAAAATAAAAATTTTTATATGAGCAATTTTGTGTGAGAAAAAATATGAAATGAGAACAAAATCAGGCGTCGGTCGTTTCCATTCAACATTTTTGCACCAACCAACATTTCTTGAAACCAATCCAATCAACCAGCTTTTTAATTTTTTTTTTTTTGTTTCATTAGTTTATAT